TAGAAAATTTTAGTTTTATAGAATGTGTTGGAAGATTCTAGAAAATTCCATAATGATCTAAGCACCGCTCTTGCTGACACGCCTTTTTCCGTTACTAGAAAAGCGTATCACATGATTATTGGTCTCTACTTCCCAGCTTGCTAGGGTATAGAGAGAAGAAAACTGCAAAAACTTCGATTTAAACTTCCACTTACTATATTTTCATCGAAAATATGTGTGAGTTCTGCAAAAGGAAATTTATCGAAAAATTACTAAAAAGTGCTTTTTTTCGAGGTTTGTGATATGTAATCTTGATATAGAGTATATTAGATAGAAAACTGCATTGGCTATAGGGATGCACCAATTCCAACCAATTTCAATTTCAATTCGAACCAATTCCGAGCGAAGAATTGCAATTGGAATTGATGCATCCCTAATTGGCTATTGAAATCATTATCTGAATTTAGGATAGGTGCTTTACATTATAGAAACTAAATCAAAAATACGTTATTGTTAAAGTTTTTCCATCATTTCATATAGTATTCTCTAGAAGAGCATATAACTTCGTGAGAGGAAATCAGTCAATCAAAGATATAAACTGTTTACAAACCAATTGATAAAAATGACGATCAAGAAAGATTTTTCATACAAAGGTCACGAGAAATCTTGTATTTTGTGTAGGCATGCACATAATACAATTACAATCGGCGTATCAAATGCATATATGTTCAATGTCGTCATTAAAAATTACAAGAAAAATATTTATTTAAAGAAAAAGTCAGGCTTTATATAGATTCCTGATTAATGTATGAATCATCTCAGAGAAAAAAGATTTTAGAAGAATTTCATATTAAGAAATAAAGAGATGTCCGACACATGAGAATTATTAACGACTGATTATCTTCTTATTTTTGAATTATCAATTTTTGATTTTATATCCATTCAAATCAAACGTTTCAGTCTTCAAATTTACGATTTATATTGTTTTTATTTGATTAATTGATAAAAGTGATAAAGGACATTTGGTGTCATTAGGCATGCACCAAACCCGAACTTCTCGGCGTTCGGTCGTTCTCGGAGTCCAATCGATAATAAGTTTGGGCTGAATCCAAATCTTTCCTTCAATCTTACACAGTTTCAATACCATATAGATTTCACTAGGGAACTTCTACCAAAGGTAAATAGAGGTCGAAGAATTCGAATCTGAAGTCAGATTTTAGAAATTTTCAATTGAGTTTTTTTAGTAAGGAGCGAGTGTGGAACATGGGTATGGGTGTCATTCTTGTTGTCATGCACACCCCACATCCACACTATAAAAGTTTCATGAACGATTTCTGATTTAAAAAAAGTAGTAATCTGCTCGAAACTGTGAGTAAATCTGGGTGTGGATGTAGATGTGAATGTCGACGTGCGTAAAAACAAGAATGACACCCACACTCCACACTTATCCCTTACCGAAAAATCCAATTCAAAATTTAAAAAATCTGACTTCAGATTCGCATTCCTCGGCCACGATTTACATTTGGTAGAAGTTCCCTAGTCAAATCTATATGATATTGAAACTGTGTAAGATTGAAGGAAAGATTTGGATTCAGCCGAAACCTACTGTCGATTGGACTCCGGCAACGACTGAACCCGAGAATAAAAGAACCCCGGAAACGACCGAACCCCGGGAATTCCGATCTGTTCCCGGGTTCGGTGCATGCCTAGGTGCCATGATATAATAGTCTTTCCATATTTGAAATCTGATTTAGCAAAGTCATATATACTTTATAAGAGAAAACTAAAAGATATATCCGGCATTTTTTCCTACTTTTAGGCAAATAAATTTATTACGAAGATTGCACGTTGGTATATACAGAAAAAGAAAAAAATCAAATACACTGGCTCCCAAAATTATTCAACAAGGTTTATTTTCAATTTTTTCTGCTACCTTAAGGGTTAGAAAGACTCCAAATAGTGATTCGAGTATAGAAACTTGTTTCCTATAAATAATATAACAAAAGAAACATTATAGCAAGATTCTCAGAGACGTGATCTTCAGAAAACCAAAATCCTAGGTTGTCAGCACACGCAAGTCGTTAATTTCTTTGTGTTTTAATAGTCTAGTATGATAGAGTAACCAATTCTCTACAAAATGAGACGTCTCCGAGGTCTCTATGACCTTCTCTTCGAAAGTCATAAGCATCACAAAACCGAAAAAAAGTGAAATTTATCCGAAAATCGACTAAAAACAGCATTTTTTCGACTTTTGTGATGCTTATAACTTTTGAAGAGAAAGTTGTAGAGAGCTCGGAGACCTCATATTTTGTAGAGAATTGGTTACTCTATCATACTAGATGGTTAAAACACAAAGAAATTAACGACTTGCGTGTGCTAAAAACCTAGGGTTTTGGTTTTTTCGAGACCCCGTCTTTGAGAATCTTGCTATAATTTTTCTTTTGTTGTATTTTTTATGGGAAACAAGTTTCTCTACTCGAATCACTATTTGGAGTCTTTCTAACGCTTAAGGTAGCGGAAAAAATTGAAAATAAACCTTTTTGAATAATTTTCAGAGCTAGTGTATATCAGAGATTGAGTACGCATTTTCAACGACGAATACGTGATATCCTTCATTCAAATCCGACTAAATAGAAAGCAATACATGAAAAAAAGTTTTATTAAATATTCTCTTACGATCTTGAACAAGAATAAAAGTGAATGCAGCACCATAGAAGCCTGTTATAGCTTGTGGATGAACTTTCATTGTAGTATTCGTAATATTTTTTCCATGTATTGATATTGCCGATCTTATAGAATAAATCTGGTTTGTTTCACTATAACTTTGCATACCAATAGCTAAATGATCGTTAATAAGTAGAGGAAATTTTCCGTACGGAATTTCAATTGTTTGCCATTCTGTGTTGTTTCTTTCTGGAACGACAGGATAACGATGTGCTATCTGATGATCAAGAAAATATTTTGATATAGCAAAAAGATAAAGTGGGTCATCGCCTTCCCAACTCGAAAAAAGACGTAAACTAACGCTAACTATGTATCCTTGTACTAAAGTTAAATGTTGAACATTATAATACATAGAATTACTAAGTGTAAGACCAACAAAGTTATCGTATCCATTAAAGTCGGATATAGCAGCCGGAGTATCTACATTCAACACATTTTAAGATAGAGAAGACAAAAAAAAACAAGAACTTACAGATAACAGAGCCATTTGATTTAGTCGTAGTTGGTATAATTGATGGAAAGTCAAATGAAGTTGTTCGCGAAGGTGTACTTGTTTGACCTTCTAATAAAGTTTTATTTTTAGCAATAAAATTTGTTTCTGTCGTTGTTATATCCGTAGTGGTATCTAAACAAACATAATTACTTATTGCCAATAAATAATTTTTTTTTATTACTGATGCTAATCGCGGCTGTAGTTGCTATTAAGTCAATACTTGAGTTAGATGCTAGAAGTGAATAACATTATTATTCAAATGAATACATTCTCAAAATACATTTACGTAGAAGCCGGCTAGTAGTCATAACTATAATAATGGAAACTAATAGAAGAGAAATACCAGCTAAAACAAATCCTATAAGTTTCCATTTACGTTTTCTACCAGATCTAAATATTACAAAAACTTTTCTTCAATCTATTTTAAAATGAATTAAAAGTACCTAACTACAACAAGCTCGCCCGAATGTCGACCAATCTAAAATGATGAATAAATTAATTATAATAAAAAATTAGGGAACTTACCGATGCCATTGACACCTGAGGCATTGTATAAATGACGAACTGTTTTTTTTCACTACAGATTTTACTCAACAGATTGAACAGAATAAATATTTTATGAAAAATAAATTGTTTTTATCTTATGACGGAAATAGCAAAAAGATTGAAGTTTATAATTGGTCCAGCACAGTCGACTAGATAAATAGTTAAGAAATGATTCCCGCTTATTATGACTTTTTTGCAAAAAATGCAAAGCAATTTTTCATTGAAATGAAGCAGACAAAAACAGAGATCTGCAGGGAACTTCATAACCTCCTTATGACTTCTACAAACTCAGATGCGGTTTTACTACTATTTCGGATAAAATTTTTCTTTTTTTTTTTTTTACAGATAAATAGTCTTATTTTACATATTAACGAAAGAAAAAAAAAACTAGAGAGACAACATCTTTTTCACAGATAACTAAGGAACTTTAACCCTGTGAGCTCCAAATTATTTCTGCTGGATTCAATTCAAATAGACCGTTCAATTGGCTTATTTTAGATACAAAAACATAAAATACCTAACTCACGTGTGCTCGCATATAATTTACTCAATGTACGTTTTAGTAAATTTTGTTATACTTGATTAGAAATTTTATTTGCTAAAGTTTATTAATTGCAAAACTTATACAAGTTTATCATGAAATAACAAAAAACAATTTTGTTATCTTTTTTACACAAAGAGAAATGCCATAACAGCTGCTTTTGTTCTACTAAGCATTGGAGAAGCTCTCGTACTGCAATATCTGCATCTTTCTTTAGGCACAACAGCAGACATATGTGCTAATAATTGAGCTGATAGAGATTTGTTCCTTAATGCTTGTTGAATTTGTTTTTGCTTTCTGACAGCTCTTATTTTCCGTGAACATTGGTCATCAATTAGAATTTTCTCAATGAACAATTATATATATCTCGTTTACAGATAGTTAGTCAGGACTCTAGAGCATTCTTTATTGCTTCATTCCAAGAGATTGGGTACTGATTTTTATAAACGATACTGTGAAAACTACGTAACTATAAAGCATGTATAACTTTTTTTTTGCTACTATGGGACTCAAAGGATTAAGACAAAACAAATTGATCAACTTGTACTAATAAGATTCAAAACCTTTTACAGCACGAAAGCATCGTGACATTTATTTAAAAAAGCTTTCAACATCATCGAAATGTTACAACTGTTTTCACGATCAATTTGTTGTAGTTTAGGGCAAAGTAGATTTTGAATTGAAAATTTTAGAGTTAGTTCCGAAGTTGGATTTCGAAGTCAGAAAAACTTCTACATACAAGCAGTTTAGTTTGAGCATTTTATTGTTAATGATAAAAGTCACAATCAGTCTTGTTGCCATTTCAGTAAAAAATTCAGCAAAAATAGTTCGTATATTCATTCTATCTGCAATTGTATCCTTTCATTTGTATTCAATGAAACGAAGAATATTATTAAAGCGTTGATGAAATCAATTATATAATAAGAATAAAATAATTTCAGTGTTAATGAAAAACATTCGATAATTCAATCGTTTTATGATTTTCAACAGATGATGAACGACATTAAATTGTAGCTACTCCTTCAATATAAGAATATATTTGTTGATTGTGAGGCTGTTCCAACTCAGCATTGTTTATTATATTAATGCTTCCCCCTACAGAATAGAAGTTCATTTGGATTAGAAGATCAGTCTAAAGGTTATAATTTTCCAACATAAGAGAATCACCATAGTGTCCGACCTGAACCCAAAACAAGCAATGTAAACAATTGGATAGATCAGCTCATTGCTTTTCACTATTCAACTATAGCTCTGTTTATATGCTTAATTGCTTTTGCAATCCGACATATGCGAATACATCCTTACTACTTGCAGATAGCTGTCAGCAAGCTGTGGAATAAGAATTAAACATGCAGTCATTCCATTTTGTTAGATTATTTTTTGGCTATAGGTCTACGGGCAAATCCTACACTGAAAAATGAAACATCTTACAAAAGTAAACGGTATTCAATTTAAATTACGTGAGTGTTCATCGAACTCAATAATCAAAATTAATGGTATAATATCAATCTTTATAGCATTTATGAGGCCTGAAATATCCATTTCCTAGAAATTACAGACTCTTATTTCGTAATTAAAGGCTTATTTTGTTTTCCTGTCAAGATAATTTAAACATGTCTCTTTTCATTTCCGCCTTGTGTGTAAACCTCTATGCTAAACTCGTTCAGCAAAATCATATTAGTAAATGTCTTGTAAGAGTTTCTTTCTAACTTTTCTACAACTCATCAATGTCTTAGCTGAAATATTTTACAAATTGTATTGTTCATATTCATGCCAAGATATGCCAAGTAGTGGAGACAAATGACCATCTGGATATGAAAAGTAGTGCAAATAACTCGTTATTTTGTCTAATTAATAGTATTGAACTGGGATAGAGCTGACGGTTTATCTTTAATTTCATAGAGACTATTATAGGTATTTTAACATTGGTCACATATTTTGAAAGTTTCGATTTATCAAATACTGAATACTTCTATACTTTTAAGATAATGAAATCATAGGTACAACACAAAAAATCTTGGTCACAATCGAAGAACACCTTCAAACTTTTTAATTGCAAAATGAATTATAGGTCCAGTGAGCTTCTATTATTTGAGGGAGGGATTGATTGGTTAATAAATAAACGAATAATGCAGTTGCTAAACACTCTTATTGAAGCAAATTACTGCAAATATACATATACATATCCTAGGCAATATTAAACTCAGATACAACTCGTTATTAATTAGATGCAAAACTACGAAATAATGTTCTTTTATTGAAACATAAATTCTAATTTACGTTTGCATTAAGAGAAAAAAAGTACGCACGTGTTTTTTCATCAGACAAAATATTTATTTTTACTGATGTTTTAATGTATTGACCAATGTTTCTTTTTGCGCCAGCATCGAAAAATAATTTTCGAAAGTGTTTTTATGACAAGCGAAATACCACTTTGAATTGTTGAAGTATTAAATTTCTAAAGACAACTTTTATTCTACTAGTGAAAAATACATAAGCTAAAAAATCTTGTATGTTTTTGGGTTGCAAGATAAACATAATAAAGCTAAACAGCAGAATATATATATTTACGTTTTCCATATCATATATAAATTACGATAACTTAAAAGACAAATAAACATTGATAAAAAACACTACTAAAAAAGCATCAGTTTAAAAATACTTTCTTTCTTTCTTTTCTAATCGGAGCTTGCTAAGACAAACTAGATTTCAATTCACATACACTCATGAATTCTAAAACTTCGTCGAGTTACCTAGACTTCAATAAATGTTGAACATAACTTAATATATCAGTTCTTTTTTTCATATTTTTTCATTTCTTTAATTCAAACGTTCTCCAAAAACTCTGTTCACTTTTGCCTAAATCTTAACTTTGCTTAAAATATACTATTTCCAATTTTGATCACTTCTTAATTGGATTATATTGCTTTAACGAATTTTTTTCATCTTCGTCCTTATATTTCATTCTCACTCTCAGAATCTTAAGAGTTGGACTTTTTCAAGTTTGTTTAGAGCAATCTATTTCATTATGGTCTTTCACAGTACACACTAAGTTAAAATGTGTCGCATGTGTCGTGTTTTGCAACACGTTAAAGTGCGACACAAGGAGCTCACTGTGACACATTTTCTATTGGTACTTTTGGAAAATCATATTTCGATGTTGTTTTTCAATTTAATTATTCCTATTCTGAAACTCAAGCCGGTCAGATCCTGAGATCTCCCCAATCTCGAGTTGGTCTGATTTGTATCAGACCGCTTCAGAGTAGTCCTCTCACGATCATGGATCGAGATTGGCATTTTCTCGATAAAAAAAAATAATCGAGAAATAATCTAGAAAATAAAAATAATTTGAAATTTTTTTTTCTATGTTCGAAAACGTTCTTTATATATCACCATATGCGCATAATAAAATGGTGAACGAATAGTCAGCAGACAGAACGCGACAAATTCGTATACGACACATTTTAAGCACGACATATTTTTCTGCTGGAGTGTGCGACACAATAATTCACGACGCAAATAAACACGACACATTTAAATTTAGTGTGTAGGAAGAATGATTTTTTCCAGCATGTTGAAAAGCAAACGGAAGTAGATAACATATATAAACATGCAAACAAAGCGACTACATACTATTAATTCTTTTTACTGTAAAATACTGAAATATGGCTGGTATTATCCTGAACCAATTTGCACATCGCGTAGGCTATACATTATCAAATGGATTTTGTGACGGCTGTTATCATCGATTCGAGGATGGCGAGATGGGATTTCGATGCTTAGAGTGCAGTGGTTTCGTGTGTCCGGAAAGTAATGAACGCACAGTTCGACGAATAGCACTGACAACTAATATAAAACTTCAATCCGGAGCTACGCAGTTGAACATAGCTCAAACGACACCTTTTACTGGTTATGATCTATGCTTGGATTGTGCAAAGAAACCTTTTTTACACTCACATCATCGTTTCACGCTGACAATCTGTCGTAAATAAGAGACCAGTTCATTTGCGTTGAGTAAATTTTATTCGAGATTTTATGATTTTATGCATTTGTTTTAAATTGAGATTTGGAGGTTTTCCAAATATTTTAATGGTTTAAATTAAAAATTGAATAAAGGTGAAAAAGCTATATGAACTTTTACTTGTCAATTGACAAAATATCTAATAATAACTTAATTGTCAAAGACATGTATTTTTGTTGTCGATTAGATGTATTCAGTGCTTGTATCTGAAATATAATTCTAGAACTGCTGTATACACTTACGAAAACGATACATTCTCAAGTTAAATATGTTTTACACACTCATATTTGCTGGTATTGTTCAATAAGTCATTCATAGTGAGTATTATTGATTCAACGAAATAACTTTATCATTCATTCACAAAAGCTCAAGATCTTAATGATGTATATAATTATGACTAATGACATTTTTTTTCTGTTGTTGGAATAGATGATAATAGGT